CTGCCAGTGAACCTCCGTTGCAGTGAAACTACAACCCGGTTCAAAAGTCTCCTTGACGATTTTCTTTCCGAAAGTGGATTATGTCACCTATTGAATATCAATGTATTCAATAATGATTTATACAAACAAGGTCCGTCATCCATTTAATTGCTTGAAAAGCAAAATAAAACCTTTAAATCTTTCCACGTCTATTTTATTTTATTTCTATTTATCTTAATATATGAAATCTGCTTATGTTCGTGTTTATCATTATTTCCGTTATTAATATCATTATTAGTTCCCCAACACATTAGATATTCTTTTTATTCTTCTTATCCTTCTAAACATATTTAACTCCAGATTGTCCTGTGAAATCAATTTTGACTTTCATAGCATCATCTTAATTATTATTGCACAAATATTTATACTAATATCCGGTTTCACTCTGTATACTATTACATAAATCTAAATGTATTCATCCGAGTGCACTAAAGGATTTTTATTTTATTTTTCTCAATTGCTGGTTTCCTTCTGAGGTTGATATTCATTATGCAATTATTATTCTTATCGTGAATGAAACTTTTCACTAGATGTTCACTTCTTTTCTCTCTTCTTTCCCTCTAAACAAATATTCTTAAGATTACGAAGTTTGTAATTAAGACAATAACTTGTGTTACACTTACATTAACTTCTCAAACTCGTTTTGTCTTCACTATGCGTATATAACTCATATATATTGATATTTGGTTATCCTTTTCACTTAATTGTGACTTTCATAGCATCACTCCAAACTATGACTGCACAAACATTTATTCTAGTGTAATATCTTACTGCAATATTAAGTTATTTTTTCTTAATTATTCTCTGTTTTATTTTTGTCACTGATTCGACGATACATATATAGTCATTTATTCTCGTTCTGTGTTCATAAACAGGCCTATTAAACTACTTGCGTATTTCACGTCTCCTTTATTTCTGTTCCCTTATTTTCTCCATTTCCTTACTTAAACTCAATTCAATATTCTTCTCAATTACACAGACCCGATTTATTATTATTAATATTCTACTATCATTACTTTTTTTGATATGGCAAGTATAATGCTAACATTATTGAAAATTGTGTATTATTGCATTTTTGAAGTAACCTAAAATCGTTTCTTCACAGCACTTATGTACCCATAAGATGCTTGTGCATAATAATAATAATAATAATATAGCCAATCTGCTGATTGTAGTCGACAGATGAAAAACCATTCCTTATCGCAGGAAGTAGGTTAGTATCATATACCTTGACGTCTCAAAAGCTTTTGATGGGAACAATCATATATTTTTCATCAATAAGCCCGAACGACCTGATATGGAGTCATAGTTATTAGATTTCCTTACTTCATATCGAAATGATCGACTGCTTAGGGTCAGGAGAAACTTTATTTTTTCTCAGACGACAGGATGTCTCAGTCAAGTCTTTCAGGTTCAGTATTCAGACCTCTTTTTTTCTAGTTTATATAGATGACCTTACCTAGCAAGTAATATCTGATTATTTTTATTTTCGCCGACGTTGTGCAACTTGGGAGATAAGTTTGCGACCAAGATGATAAGCGGGGAGTTTATGAGGATCTGACTCGTCTTTAAAGTTGAGTGAATAACGACAGACTCATCTTTAACATTTCGAAGTGTAAACGTGTACATCTGAGACATGCTTCAGACTACGCATACAAGTTGGCTAACTTTTATCCAGGGTTTCCTAAGTTGCGAAACATCCAGGTGTCATTACCCAATGATCTTATGTCTTGCGTCAACTGAGACAAAATTCCTTTTCGGAGCAAACCTTGCACTGATAGCGTTGAGGTGCATTTTAAGGCAGGTTCGAAGTTAGAGCTTCCTCTCTAATCGTCACCGGTTTTGTTTGACTTTACCTAGGGTATGAAAATGTACTGTTTGTTCCCTAACCCTAAAAGGAAATGAATACAGTAGGACGTATCCAAAGGCGAGTCAATAAATCAGTTCGAGGACCCAATTTCAAACCTCATGAAGAACGCCACAAGTCACTGGATCCTTACTCTGTAGGGTATAGACATCCCAGAACTGGCCTTTCAATGACTTAGAGAATCCTAAACACTCCTAGCCATCACATGAAACACGTGCTTAAGCTCAGTCTCAGCGCAAACCGTAGGGATAATACCCAGAAATTAGTGTTGCAAAATAACAGAATGGACAATAGGCACACCTTTTACTCTTTGCGCGTAGTAGTAATGGTCCAGGCGACTTTTCATGGGTTTTTCCGGAGAGAACGTGACACTATAGTTTCAGCATAATCTGATACTGTTTCGCTTTTCAGCGTTAAATCTATGTTCCCACCCTTAAGCCTTGATGATCCACTGCTGTTAGATATGGAAGCCCGTCAAGCGAAAGCTTTTTCCATTCCTCTCCGAACCACTTGAACCATTTCTGGTCATATGTAACAGTGAAGTCGTTTATCTGTACAATCAAATTCGTAATCCTCTCCGAGATTATCAAGCATTGTAAAAGCAGCTAGACCGACCGTCTAGCTAACTAAATTGAATTTAAGTTCAATAATTTCACCCAGATCAGTTCATACTGCAATTGAGGATCTGGGATTATTCGAAAATGTGAAGTCGGCAACTTGTTGTAGAAACGTCACACGCCGTCGCTCTTAGACTGGGTATTTATTTCTAATTGACAGCCTCATAATCCTGTTGTAGCCCTTAGTTTTATTAGCAAAACTGAGCTAAGACATTCCACCAACAACAGGCGCTGGAATTTCAAACGGTTGAATGTGTCCGTTGTACAGGATTGGGAAAATGATCCTCAACTTGATGTGGATGCTCAATGCGATTTCTTTCTGCACACTCTCTTATGTGCTACAAAGTAGTCTGTTCCTCAAGTGGTCCCCAAAATCTACAAGCAACCTACAGTCATCACGAACCTCATTCTTCATTTACTAAGTCGCAAAAGGCATTGTTGGGCGGAATACAACGAACTGACAACAACGGCGCGTACAGGCAATACAACCATATAAGGAATATATACACAAAGGCAATGCGAGAAGACAAGCTTCAATACCAGATAAAGCTTATCGATAAATTTATCTCTAATCCGAAAAGATTATTCCGTTATGCAGCCTCTGTTCAACAAGCTAAAACTGAAGTTCCCCAACAGCTTGGCCCTAATGGCCCGAATAACAACGGTACCACCTCTAATTTTCCAGTTGAACAGTACTCTCGGACATTTCGACTGACCCACATTAACTATAATGATGTAAGCTTCATCTGTAACTGCACAGAAATTTCCGAAGTGAACCTGATCCCCGGCTCGGTGTACCGGAAACTGCAGCACCTGAAAATGACGTTTCTCTTGGTCTGGATAAGGTAGATTCTGTTATGCTGAGGGAAGTAGCTTCGACCCTGGCAACACCACTTAGCGTGATGTTCTCACACTCGCTAAGCCGAGGCACATTATCGAGAATTCGAAGGCTTGCCCACATCACACCAATTTTCAAAGGAGGTTGATGCAGAAAACCTTCAAGCTACCGACCGGTGGCTTTTCTTTCCGTGCCTTCAAAAATTATGAGTGCCTGATGTGCGACGGTATACACGACCTGAAATTTCTTTTCAACCCGACAGCATGGTTTCAGGAAGGGTCATTTTTGTTTAACCGACCTGCTGACTGCAGTAGACAGATGGACAACCATCCTTGATCGCAAGGGGAAGGTCGATATCATTTATCTTGATTTTTCAAAAGTTTTTGATAGCGTCAACCACATACGTCTTATCAATAAGCTCAAACGACTGGGTATCAGACCACCTCTAATTGACTGCCTCACCTCATATCTCAAAAATCGTCATTTTAAAGTTAGAGTTAACTTCAAATTCTCTCAGGTTGTGGAATGTCCTGGTGGGGTCCCTCAGGGTTCAGAACTAGGATCTCTTCTTTTATTGATGTTCAACAGTTTTATTCGTCCCGATTTAGAGTACGGAAACATAGTATTCCCCCCTCGTTCCAAAAATATAAGGGCACTCTGGGACGCATCCAACAGCCAGCTACGAAATTAGTCCGGGGACTCAAATTCAAGCCTTATGAACAGTCCCTCCAATCACTAGACCTTTATCCATTAGAGTGTAGGCATCTTAGAAGGGACCTCCTAATGATTTGCAGTATCCTTAACACTTCTGGACACCTCCTTAAGCACCTAATTAAGTTGAGCTCAAACACAAAACTAAAGGGTTGTAGAATTATGGTCTACTATGATATTAGTACTGCTCTACTAATAGACCTAATCCTAAAATTGTAGATGTCATAATATAACTGTCTAATCGATAAGATCTTACGTGCAATGTCACACCATCAACTACACCAACTTACTGTATCGTATCAATTACCAATATATGATGTAGAACAAGGTTAGGCTAGAGGAGGAACAATATTTTTAATATGAATAGAAGATATAAGGTATCATTTAGAGGGACCACGCCTGCATGGCAGAGCCATGTCGTCCGATCAACTCCCATTCATTCAATTCCTTGTTCGCGCCTTCTCCATCGTTAGGCATTTCTCCGCGTTAAATATTGAATATATATTTTCCGAGTAATCTCGTATTCAGTTTTGAAGATTGTGTGGTCATGGTTCAATGCCACTACAGGGTGACACCCAGAAACTGGTGATACAACACAGCAGAGCGGACCATGGACACAACTTCTACTCCTTAAGGGTTGTCAAATGCTGAAATTCTCTGCTGGCTGAGCTAGTTAAAGCAACCTCTCAAGAGTCCTTTAAGAGAAGATTTGACCTATTCTTATGTACTAAGGATAGTATCACACTATGATTTACCAATTTCTATCGATAATATACCTGGATTCTTGTCTGGAAGTATTGGTGACCCACGGCTACTAGACGCGGAAGCCTGTTGTACGAAGGCTTCTTGTATTCCGTTCAAAACCATTTGAACCATTTTAAATGGCACCCACCTAGTTTACCTTTTGGCCTTGGGTTTAGCGCGCAAAATGACACTATTTCAGAGTTCTGAGAAAGCTAATGACCCCCTTGATTCTTCACAAGATCGTGGGAAAGAGTTCAGGTACAACAATGCTTTACAAGACAAATAATATATTCCAATTTTCACTACAGAACTGAATCTCTATTATGTCGTTTGAAGTATCAGAATAATTTGCCAGAGCTCCCTTTCGATCCTAAATTCTTAGTATATCCTCTCGAACCTTCCAGGTTAAATTGCTTTTGATCTTTATATATTGGTATTAGATTCCTTCAATATGTTGCTACCTCTCTGGAAAGGAACTATAAGCATGAATTACTCACAGAAACAGATGTGGGAGTTGAGGTTGACTTAATTGATCCTGATGTTTTCCGAATTGACAAAAGAGGTATATTTTAGTTAAACTTTTAAGTGATACGAAATAGCAACTCTTCATCCGGATGATGAGCGACTCTTGGAAGATGAGGCTCCTACTTTTGTCAATGCACGTAAATCTAGACATCAAAAGTCAGTGTCCTGGCTAAGGAAAACAGAATATATATCTACTGAGCTTTACAATCGTTGGAACAAATCTGAAAAGGTGAGTCTAGGTGAGTGTTTATTTGTCATTATTTTCAAAGACTTGGGTACAATGTTAAACGCCATCTCAATGAAGAGATCGTGTATCGTGATCGCGAAAGCCAGATCAACGCCATTGAAGAAACGTTCAAAGCAGCTGAAAAACCTATTCACAAGCACTACAGCAAGCCAAACGTTCACGCTTTGGAGGTACTTCCAGTGTTACCGGACTTCACATTATGGAGATATCCATGTGCACAGGTCAGTTGCATTGGTTTTTCAAATAGGTTTTATGTATGAAAATAACAAACTCTAAACCCTATTCTACAACTAGTGCTTAACATCATAGCTTGTTTTCAAGTGTAAGTGGTGTGACAATAATGCAACTGCTAGTTTAGTGAGGAATTAAAGATATAGTCCTAAGACATTGTAGACCCTGATCTTGTTAATTACATCACGCTACCTTAAATGAAGGCTTGACAAGCTCCAAACTAGCCAGCTAAATTCTCTAGTAATATTAGTTTTGTTCCAGCAGTAACCAGTTTGTAGTAGCAATGTAAGCTTTTAACATGGTCGATCGTTTATTGTCACTAAGTTGTTTTGTTTTTGGCCAGCCTATTTTTGTAAAGCATATACCTTACTTGTTTTCTTCCGTTACAAATCAGCCTTCATACAGCATTTGCCGGCTTATGGATGTAAAGTAACAAAAGACAGTGTCTTTAAAAACATATGTAGATGATTTTTACGAGACTCAAGCCTTTTCTTTTCAGAAATAGATCCTATTTTGTTTGTCACCAAATGTGTAAAGCTGTGGCTTATTAATTACGACATCCACTATCCAGTTTCTACGTACGTACTCTGGTTTATCCAACTGGGTAGCTTCATTAGAATTCATACTCATACCCAAGTACTTGATGAATGACTTAATTATTTTTTATTTACTTATCTTTATTTCTTCAGGTGTTTAAAAATAACTGAATTGGTTGTTAGAGAGTTTTAAAATGCAATAAGTTGTTGGGTTCATCAGTCTGACTAAGTATCGTTTTGTTTCTGCTCATCGGACAAAGGTTGTCACTTAAAAGTATACTTTAAGTACTTCAAGTTTTTTTACGCTGTCACATAAACATGTGACTGTGTTCTACTTCAAATATAAAATTTATTCTTTAGCTGAACTAGGAGTGGTTGGCTAGCTTAGTGCTCAACCTGTCCTACTTCTCTAATAATTGTGCCGCAAAAGATGTGCAGTTTGTGTAAACAGACTACATTATATGTCTTGTAACAATGTCCTTGTTTCTTTTCATTACATTACATTACACAATGAATTTTTAGTAATCCTCATTGATTGCAACTTTGGTCAACAATCGTTTATTATTCATTCCTCTGGAAGTTCTTTAGAAATATTGGGACCTTACGTAATACAAGTTTCTTGGCAAAACTTGTTTTAAATTCTTGTACCCAAATTTTAACCCAATATATTTGTTTAGAAGACCAAAGTAAAAGTTTCTGGGAACCGCTTCCATGATAAATTTAACAAAGTTAATCTTTCTGGTAAAAAAAGCGCTCGATTATGCCCAAACTTTCTCATAGCCTAGGACATCGGACAGAATAAAGCAAGTTTTTTAAAATAATTATTTTTCTCTACCTTATGATACCGGTCTATACAAATTGCCTCAACAGTGACTCCATATATCTTGTTTAATCTTTCCAGGTTATTTTCGATGATGACCCCTCTCGTAAAAATAAAACTACCACTGAACAAAAGGAGGAGGTGAATCAAGCAATGATTCGGTTAGTTTCTCATTCCCTTGTTTTCATGTTGTAGCTGATTTTTTAACTGCTGCTTCATCATCGACACGCTAAGGAGAAATTGTTAGAATGGCTTTTAATTTCTGTCCCAATATGTTCCAGATTCTTGGTTGCGATCCATAAGGTAATCATGGATAATGGTTAGAAACTAGTATTTCTCTCCCTTTAAATCTTGAGTTTGCTATTATCCCATTCGTTTCATTCTTCAATCTCATCCCTTGTTTTTTGAGATATTTCTTATGTTTAGATGTTCGGCGTAATTGGTATTATTTTTTCTTTTTTGCTTCTCAATAACTACCTTTCTGGTTTTACTGATATAAGGTGTGACATTTTGGACGGATACCCATTGTTGCTAGATCCAAAATTGACGATGGATGACTGAAAATGAAATCGATTAGAGATTAAGTATTGCTTGTTTTGTAGAAAATAATTCGCTAACATTATAAGCATGAGATATTTTAGTAAAAATGTCTTCATTTACATACCCTTATAGTACGGTAGTTTTTATTTAGTCAAAATCTAGTCTGTCTTACAATATTTTGTTATCCCCAATCTGCTTACTATGATTGACCCATTTAATAAATTTGTTGGTGTGTTGTGGTTGAGGTTATGGGTGATTTGTTTGGAATTTATACTTATTTATAATTCACAAAATAAATCTGTTATAAGCTTGACTTATAATCTACTTGACCATCCCAAAATTATATTTTGTTAATTATAGTGGTATGGTAGATGAATCTGGCGACCATTTTGTTGCTTACTTCCTACCAACTGAACAGACTAAACAATTACGTCGTTTGGATGCTGAAAATCGAATACCATATACTGAAGATGCTGCCTATGAATATGAACTTACACGAGAGTACAATTGGAATGTCAAAAATAAAACTATGGCCAATTATGAAGAAAATTATTTTTTTGTTTTCGTAAAGATGGTATGACTTCATATGTAATTTGTCAACTGTATTTTTTCCTTATTATTGTCTAAATAAGATTTTGTTTCTTACCTTGTGTATGTTGAAGCCTACTGCTGCGGAGGCCGCTGCTACGCTGACTGTTTTCACTTGCACTTGTTAATGTGTATGGGGTAGAGGAGCTAGGTAATCTATGAAGTCCTAATCGTCTAGTTGAATCCAAGTTGTCTATTGTATTCCGTGCTTCCCCTGAGATGCAGGAGTTAACATAACCCAGTCGACCACTGAAAGAAAGAGAAAAGGCCAGAGCAATCAACCTTGTCAGACATCGGCCCTCACTTGGAATGCATCTGTGAGCTGTCGTCCATGCACAACTTTCCAGTGTAGTCAGTCGTGTGAATTCCATATGATAACGATCTTCGCAGAGACACCATAATGTGCATATCCCTGCCCTTGTTCGGTTGTTGTTAATTACTTTCCTCTTTTTCTTCCATTCTTGAATCCTGTCCACAGTTTTGATAGCGATTCATTCCGTATGATGTACTTCTTGTGGCCCAGCACTTCCTGATACGTTGAAATTAGTGCTTCTTTGATCCCTTTCCAGTTGTCTTCCATAGTAGTTTCATCCTTCAGTAGATGCTGTAAGGTTTGCAACCTGTTGTTTAGAGTTATCTTGAATTTGTTGAGTTTGTTGGTATCTCGTTGGAAAGCTGTATTGAACCTTTGTAATGCTGTTTTCCCAGCTTTTCAGTGTTTCTTTAGCTTCCGTTTCATCTTGGCAACCATCAGCTAGTGGTGATCTGAAGCTATGTCAGCTCCTCTCAGGCTGGCTTCAGACCTGATCGTGGCTGCATCGACCGCATATTCACCATTCATCAGGTTCCAGAACATATGCACACTTATCGGCGTTCGACAATGGTGGTCCATTTTGTTTTGGTTTACGGCAGCGAAACTTGGCCATTGAGAGTAGAAGACACTCGTAAGCTACTAGTATTTGACCACAGATGCTTTAGAAATATTGCTGGGATCACTGGGTAAGTAATAGTGAGGTTAGACGCAGGGTATTAGAGAATGATGGTAAATCATTTGATGAGGTTATGAATCTTCATCGACTGAGATGGTTGGGTCACGTGTTACGTATGCCTGAACACCAACTACCACGACGTGCAATGCTAACCGGTGTTGGGGTTGGTTGGAAAAGTTAGGGGCGGCCAAACCAAAACGTGGCATCAGTGCTTGAAGTCACTAACTTCTAGTCTGAGCCATGTTGGTAGATGCAGACTACTTGGTTGTGGTCCGCATGACTATCGTAACCAATGGTTGGAGACTCTTGGTGACATGGCTCAGAATCAATCACAATGGCGTCGGTGTATACACTCCCTGTCTTCCCTTAAACTAAGAGATTAAAATCGCTTCATATCTTTCTACGAACTGATTCTTTCTTCCTGTACTATATCCTTATTGCAATCTTTCTTTTATATATTACCACCTCTGAATTAACTACTTTTATGAATCCGGTGTCCATTTTGTTGTGTTAATGTGGTATGGCAACTTGGACCGATGCATATATGTGCCTGGTCCTACGTTGTAGCTGACTAACTGACTGACTGTGTAGATGATCGCACATCCAAACATCGTGGTTGGATTCAGATATTTCGGTCTTTAAGTATCCTCCTGTCATGTATAACAGTATTCTCTTAAATTTACATAGAATTTGTTAAGTCTAGTTTGAACTTTTCACTCGGTACTTAATTCATTCCTGTATTGTTAGGCAAACTGTGTTCATAAATTCTATCGTTTTTAGAAAGTGACTTAGACTCACAGAATGTTGTGAATTACTTTGTTTGGCGGGGTTAGTGTCAAGGTATACCATAAATACAACTCAGTAGCTAAGTACATTGTTGTATATTTTTTTGCATCACGAATTTTATACGAAAGCTAATCATGTGACCGGCATGTTAAAAATTGAGTAGATAGACTATGATATAATTACTTGTCAACTAACCCTTCGCTTTGAAAAACACTACTTAAATATCACTTATTTATTTTTGTTCTGGTAAATGTATTGTCATTGAATCTATTAGGTTCTAGGAGGACATGTATACTGATATTCGTTTTCTTGATTTCTTTACAGGAGTTTACTATAACGAATTAGAGACCAGAGTCCGTCTTAGTAAACGGCGTAAATTAAACCAGTCTGGTACTAATGTTGGCGCTCTACAAGCCCCTAAAACTCGTTTGATTGTTCATCATCGAGATTTCACGGATGAGGAATTGAAGGCTCAAACTGACCGTTTATATATGCTGGAACATGATGTTGAAGGTGACGAAGAAGATGATGAAGGAAATGCAGATGGTGATGAAAATGTTGCTGATGAGGAATCAATAAGCAATGAAAAAGAAACCAATCATAAAACTAGTTATAACGGTAATTTAGGGTTTTACTAGTGTATCATATATACTCGCAAATTTCCAGTATTATAAACTGAACTATATATTGTTATTCGACAAATTCCTGTAAAATTTATTAACCACTGTCAGGCTTGAGTGAAGTTTCACTTTCCTCTCAATCACCGAAATACTATATACCTATGAATTAAAAAGCAGTTTACCTTCATGGTGATTTGTGCATCAATATTTGTATACAGTTCTGTTAAATGAAGCGGAGTGCTCAATTCTATTTTACTTGTCATATTTATCATTTTGACCACACTAATGTTTGCCGTGATCACCGATGAATTATATTACTGCAGCTCACTGAGGCAAACTAGCGTAGGCTTTAAAGCTGACTGAAAACGTACTTAAAGATGCCCAAACCCATTTATTTAACGGATATTGATCTTATCAGCAAAAAGATTGTATGTTTCATCATTCAGATCGTGAATATCCCGTTAATCAGTGGTTGGGGATGATAGATGATATAACTCGAAATCGCTTCTTATTTTGGAAGGTCCGGACTATTTGTTATCATATTTCTTTGTTTTTTATATATTCATCTATCAGTCGTTTTTTTATTGTATTATTTTTTTGAGTAGACTTATTACTCAGTTGTAAATTGCGTTAACTTGAACTCTTCAATCTTGTCAGAAATTCTGTGTTCTTCGTTTTTCTGGTAATTTTGTGATTCTCCAAACGATTACGTCTTTATATCCAATCAGTTTGCTAGTTCCTTTGCTATAGTTCTATATATTCTTTCTTAAGTAGTTTAATCGTTTACACCGTTCAGTGCATTGTTCGCAACATACCTATTGATAAAATTTGGGATGATAGTAAATTGTTACTACCAACGACAACTAGTTTGAGACCATGCAGTTTAGTTAATTAAACTACTAATCTAATATTTATTATACTATCCTTACAAAAATGGTTGAGGGTAAAGTACATGTTTATTTCACTAGTATATTACAATTACTTTTTTAAGATTAATGAATTCGTAGTTGTTATAAACTATTTTAGTTTTGTTTGTTTGTTAATTGGATAGACACCAAACCTTTAAAAATTCAACACTAATCAATTACTTATTTACTTTCCTAACCAAAAGCAATTTAAAAATAGATCCAAGTGATAGAACTTTGACTTCATTATTATTCCAAAAAGCTATCAATGTGGAAATAAAGTATGTAGACGAACTGGTTTTACGGATTATTTATCTATCCATATAACTACATGTTATGAACGGGGAATTAAGAAGCCCAGACAATTACGAAAGCTATTTTCTTGGGACGTTATTGCATTTCATTCAAAACCTGTAAAACACTTATATTTATTTTTGTCCCTATCTTATTCTACATAACACGAGCTTTCGTTCTATGTATCATTCACTAGCATAGGGACAAAAATAAATATAAGTGTTTTACAGGTTTTGAATGAAATGCAATAACGTCCCAAGAAAATAGCTTTCGTAATTGTCTGGGCTTCTTAATTCCCCGTTCATAACACTACAAAATATCCTTGTATTATATGCAGTCCCAATTCGTGGTGTAAACTTTAACTGCAGTTCCCTACTTTAACTTCTAATCATGATTTTTGACGCTATTTTGAGCCTAACAGTCAATTTTAAAATCTCTGAAGGTCATTAGGGTAATTTAGTTCCATCACTCAGTTGCCATTTATGTCATCTGTCTGACCTCTTTGGATTGAATGTGTTTAGGCTCTGTATATAAAATATGCAACATAAAAACTCGGACATTCAATTATCTGTTGAATAATTCATCAGTTTTCGAAGATGATGTACATACGATAAGATGATTGCTTTACTTACCTGTAAGCTAATCGAGTAAGTGGAGCTAAATAAGACTAAGATTTGATAAATCACAAACTGTGTTCACAAAATGGGGCTCAGCTTTTAATAAAGTTTTACTAGAATTATAAAGTCAAATATGTCGGTATCATGATTTCTTCGGAAAAGTTGTAAAGGTTAAGTGATGTTATGAATATTTCCTTCAAATGAACCTTGATAACTGCTCATGCCGACTATTATATCAATTCAGCGTACTCAGAAGTAGCCGATCTTGCAATAGGAATGATAAATAATATACCTATGACGATGAATTCACATTTCGACATCTATTTTGTTTGTTAAAATTGCGTAAACTCGTGAAATACAGTCATCCAGTTTTGCAGCCAATTAAAAAAAGCATCAGGCTACGTCGATTGTAGTTAGTGTTTGTGAAATATATATCCAGTTGGAATAGAGACATTCTAGTTTTTGCATACGAATACGTGTGCAATAGGAAATATTTTCCCATCTTCTTTATCTATTGCCTAATGAAAGCCAGATGAATTATCTTTTCTATAAGCCAGTGAACCTGGTAAATTTCTCAAGTTACTATCTTCTTGGTGCAAATTTTTGTGGAAATGAAACCCTGTATACGAAAATTTGCTTGGTTTTAGGTAGTGACGACGAAGAAGAGGCAGAGGATGGAATTAGTGACGGTCAAAACACTGAGGCTGGAGAAGAAGCAGAGGAGGAAGCTGAAGTCGAGGAAGATGAAGAGGTCGAAGAAATACCAAAGGTTGAAGCTAAAAAACGTTTCCAATCTAATAATAACTATAATCGTTCCAAAACGTCTCATCATTCTGATGACGAAAGTGACTTAAGTGACCTGAGTGATTAATTATCATTCAGGCCGGATATCGTGTATGCTTGTTTCTTGTATTGTATTAGTTTGTTTTTCTATTAATTTGCAAAATTACTTCGATAATGTGTAAATATATCTAATTCCTTGGTTGTTCTATTATATCATACAGTTTGCGTTGTTGTTTATTTGCAATCTTTTGGTAATTTTCTATATCACTACAGGATATAATTCCGAAAAAATTTCACACTAAGCAACCAGTTAAATTTCACATAAAAGATAGTTATAGTTCTCGTGAATTTTCTATTTTTATTCGCAATATAAACATTTTACAGCTACTTATGTTGAAAATGGTAACTTAAGGTAGACCCTTTTAATGTGTTTAGTCACTTTTATTAAATATTATAACGAAAAAATCCAACCAACTACTATGTACTTTGTAAGTTAATACTTCGAACTCCCACTGTAAGTGACCCTGATCAACTTAATATATATATATTTAGGCCAATTCTCGATATTCACTTAGGTTTCTTCCCATTCAAGATGTTCAAAAGCTAAATACGAGAATATATTATGGTTGATTTATTGTAAAGGTATTAACTCAGGTCAAACGTATATCAGCCAGACCAACACCAGCTAAGGTGTGCCTAAACAATATTATTAAGACGCCACATGTATTCCGAATTCGACAACGCCTTTACACGTGAAACCTTTATAATCGAAGTATAACAACGCAGTCAAATTAGAAGTCAGAGATGAAGAGGTCTGAAGTTATATTTGAAAGGGGGTCGATATCTCGTGAAGCGTTTGATCTGAGCTGGTTAAAGGAGATGAATAAGCACAGCGTACCCACTCGTGGTCTGGTGCGGTTGCGTGACTGAGCGCCCTTAGAGTATATCTAGTCGGGGTCATTGTTGAAGACATACGGAACAACTTATTTTAGCAATTTATTTACCGCTACACGTGAATTTATGTGACGGTTCCAGTGAATACATACAATTTTATCCCCGAATTTGGAGTAACAGTTTTTGGTTTGTGCCTTCGCCTAGTAATATTACGTCTGCCACGGTTGATAAAATCGTCCAGACTAATAAGCCGTAGCTATATACCAGTCATCTGCTAAGTTCATGTTTAAAATCAGTGAGTGTATTTTACATTGATTTTAGAAGAAAGCTGAGTTAATGAAAAATCAGAGTCATTCGACAACATTATTCTCAATGATACTATTAGAAAGAGCTTGAAATCTTTCAAATATTTGCAGCCCTATCAATGTTACACTTAGTTATGAAGATAACCTAGTTGCCAAAGTGACATAAAGATATATTTCTAGACAAAGATAACCAATTTCATTAAGTTCCCAAACTACATTTGAATACTCTCACGATCATAACCGGTATGTTTCGGATTCGAATCAAGGGCCTTACCACATCATATAAGATCTGAGGATTCATATACTTTAAGAATTTATTTCACTATAAGCCTAGAACCCAAATATGCTTATATAGACTCCGTGATGTACTAAGATTATATATCAGATATCTAGAAGGGATACTAACATTCCTGTTTTAAATTTGAAATCATTGTGAAGCATTATCAGCAACGTTATCACTATTCAGAACTAGGAATACCGAAATCCAAAATGTTTTGGGTTCACTCCTATCGCCACAAACAACGAAAGCAGTTACATTTTATAAGCCACTTCAGAAGACGTATTCCATATTACAAAATGGTACACAGGTGCATCAGGAGGAAATATAGTTCATTTAAGAAAGTTCATCAAGTGTGAAGTTTCTAAATCTGGAAACTGGTTTCGTAGAAATAAGAATTATAATGCCGATGCAATGTTAGTGAGGAAATGGAGTATTTTTATTAATGGAGGAAGACATTTAAACGTACCAATATTTGCAAAAGTGATCATTTTATGCAATATTACGCTATCAGCTGGAATTACAGGCAAAATACACCTTTCGTTTTGTCGACTGTGTTTGATCTGCTGGTTTATTCGTAACTAATATAGTAAGTATTGAATTGGCCTGGGAATTATTAGTTAGAATATCGATTTCGTTTTTGATACTTCTTATCACAAGTGTCCATTTATGTATGTGAAGGAATTCAACAAGTGAAAGAACTATTACTCGTTTTATTGCATAATTTACAGAATATTCGTGGAACTACCTATTTTTTAAAGAACAGTTTTACGGGATACACGAATGGATTCAAGATAAAAATTGACTATCACTTCGGAAACAAGCTTCATCTTAACCTACTAGTAAGGTTTAATGATATCTGGGTTCGCCACCAATAAATGGTGGTTAGGGGGCTGTTAGGTCCTGATAAGCATAATGAATGGTAGCTTTTGGGATCCATTTATGGACCAATACTAAACGTATATTTTTATCGTATAATTGTTAAATAACTAAACTATGCATATTGATATTCTTCTCATTATAAGCTTTATTTTGACTTATGAACCATTATTATATGTTTTACCATTCTTGAATTATGCCCTGTCCATTAGTCACTGCCTCCCATACTCACAGCCACATTTGGCCAAATTTTGTACAAATGTTATTTTCTATTTTATGGTACGTTGCGGTCTGTTTGATTGGTATATAAACTCAGTATGTTTTAAATACATGATTCATATTGCAGAGGCTGGGATTGATGTTCTGGATTCAACTGGCTGAGCTAGGCGGAAAGTGGGGCCAATCAGGACTGTAGGCTGCTCGCACGTGTTTTACGCGTCCTTGGTCCGATCGATAATTCACTGCTCTCTGATTGGTGGTATTATTACATATCCATTAACGGTGCGCTCAGGCCAAAAGTTATAACAGGAGCTTATTCAGTAATCCTTATTCCACTAGGTGAATTCCAGATGATTATAAAACACAACAGATAACATAAATTGGAAAAAAAAATCAAGAATTGCGACTTCATGGACGGTACAGTATAATTGTTTCTGACTTGTTGGTAAGGTACTGTGTAGTGACTCACATTTATCACGAGAACACGACTGGTTTAATAAAAACAATTATTATTATAACCAACTGTACCAGTGTTTGTTTTAACGTGCTTTTGTTTGACTGTGCTAATGACAGCTATTTTGTGCTTCCATTCTTTTACTTACACTTCGATTGTAACTTCGCGCGAATTCGGTTACCTTCTGTAACCAAGGTTGTATCCTGGCACGATCTCGGTATCCTTTCGATGCCACGAGATCGCCAGCAAATATACACCTCGACTTGGTCCATTAACTGCCTTCTGATATTTGGCTTCTCGGAGATTTTATGGATCTATTTGGTTACGTCCAACCCTCGCCTTCTGATTTATCTGGCACGTGTTTCTTGGTAGCGGTGTTCATAGTTAATCTCAACTCGACGCCACGCTACAATTGGTGATCCCAAAGTTTGGAACACGCCTCAACATCTGATCAAATCTTCCAAAGAAACCAATTCGGTGAGTCTATGATTTATCTATCCACGTCTGTCGTATATTTTCATATTTTTTAATATATAATATACTCGACATGACGGATAACGATAATAATAGTATTAATATAATAGACTCACATGTATGTGTACCGAATCCTTGTTACTTTTTATTCGCGTGACGATGAATTCCACGCTTTATTCGAGAAATTTTCCCCTATTAACTATTCTCCTCGCTGACCCGGCTGCTTGGTACGGAATGCATTCGCATAAGCATATCTGTCTACCACCCAGCACCAAATGGTTAAGTAAACGGTTTCACTGCCAACTTAAAAGTGCTCTACGAGCACACGAAAACGGCAACTGGCACGAAACCTTACCGCTCGTTCTTTTAGGGATCACAACGAGCTTAAAGGCAGATATCCAATGTTCCGCCACTGAACTTGTATACGGCACGACATTGCGTCTGCCCGGAGAATTCTTCACACCACGGAGCAGACCTAATTTCGGTAAATCAGACTACGTCCATCGACTGTCTGCATTTATGCGAACGCTGTCTCCGGTGTCAACTCGAATACAACATCGACAGGTCGCTCTCCCTCGAGAGTTATCTACCTGTTCACATGTTTTCATACGAGTAGATTCGGTACGCAAAACTTGGCAACAACCTTACGAAGGCCCTTTTCACGTGATCGCTCGTCACGAAAAGACCTTCAAGGTTGATCGGCATGGCCGCGTCGAGATCGTCAGCATTGATCGTCTCAAACCAGCACACGTCGATGACAGTGCCCTATCTGATAACCTGAGATTCAATGCTAGACCTAGCAAACCTACTAGCGGGATCCTCAAACCATCTTCAGGTCCCACGCTAGATACATCTGAGACCTCATTCTCACGTCCCAGTCAACAGCACGCGTCATCTGCACCGTCTACGGATGAGACGACAGTCTCACGTCCAGATCAGCAGACCACGCCGCCTCTGACCTCGGATGAGATTGCAGGCTCACGAGGTACGAACGAGACTACCGTCTCACGTTCCGGTCGCCGAGTACGGTTACCCGTACGCTTCCGCGACTAGCCGCACAGTTAACAATCGATACGGTGTAGGATTATTCCTATGCTACACGCATGCTACACTCTTCTCTTTTTTGCTTTTTTTGTTTCCTGAGCCCACGCCTTCGACCATCTCCGTTTGGTTCCGTCGACTTCAGTCAACTTTGGCGAAAGCTGGCCTGATCACCCACGCTCTTGTCAACGTACTCAGTCGATATATTGGTTTCGAATGCTTGGCATACGCTTGGTCTCGAACTTGGTCGTTATGGTCGCTTCTGGTTCATCGGCTCAACGTGGTTTCGTCCTTCGTCTGCAGCGTTTCTGGTCCGCAATCCTACGAACGCCCTCTTCAGATTCTGGATACAAACCACTCTGGTGTAGCATGCCAACTCAAGCAACAAATACAGCACATCGCTCCTGGTACCGTTCTCCGAAAACGACCTTCGTTGGCAACTCGACGATCAACGATCGCTTTCCTGTTCGCCAATTCTTCCGTCCTACAATCGCTCGTCAGCCGATCAGTCCCACGATTCAAACCGCTATTTATCGAAAGTGTAA